TATGGATATTTATCTGTAGAATAAACTTCTATAAGAAGGATTACTGTCTCAGAAGGTAATTGCATTTGTAATTTTGATAGATAGGGTCTAATTCCCTTCTGCAGAAACGGTACCATTTTATACTATCAGCAACAGCACTTCAATTTTTTCAACTTTTATTTTTATTTATATGTATATATGTATTTGTATATGTCATGTGTGGGTAGGGTGCCAACAGAAGCCAGAAGAAGGTATTGGGTCCCCTTGAGCTGGAGTTACAATGTGATTGTCAGCCCCCCATATAAGTAATGGGAACCGAACTCAGGTTCTCTGGAAGAACAGCAAGCGCTCTTAACAGATGAGCCATCTCTCCAGCCCAATACTTCAATTCTTTTTCTTTTATTTTATGTGTGTTGCCTGCATGTGTGTAAGTGCATCCATGTCGTACAATGCCCGTGGAAGTCAGAGAGGGTGTTAGATCCCCTGGAACTGGAGTTACAGATGGTTATTAACTGCCATGTGGTGCTGGGAATCAATTCCAGGTCCTCTAGAACAGCAGCTAGTGCTCTTAACCACTGAGTCATCTCTCCAGCCCCAACACTTCAATTCTTAACATCAAAATAACAGGTTCTATGACTTTACTCTGCAGTACTCAAAGAAATTCTGCTTCTACAGAAGTCAGTAAAATACAAGGCACAGAACTGGTGAGGGTGATAGTCACTTACCGGCCTGAAGCTTGCATAGGCTCAAACCTTTTGAACAATGTATGCGGGAAGCCCCTCCAAAGTGTTTGAGGCCCAACCCCATAATGGAATTCAAATGTGCTGTCCCCTAGATGTGTGTCAGCACTGTTATGTAATAGGGCCCCTCCTCTAACTGAAACAGTTAATACTGAGGTCCTTTAGAGGCGTCACTAGTTGCCCAGGCCAGGACAACGGTAGGATAAATAGTGCAGGGTGTGACTCAGGAGAAGTAATTGGGCGAACTGACCATTCAGATGGAGAACTAACTCCTGTGCCTTTTTGGTCTACTGTAAGGTTTAAAAGGAACAATGTTCGGGAGAGTGTTTAGTACATAAGAGCATTCAACACTAACTTTCCTCTTTGCCTTTCTGAAAGTAGCAGAGAATTAGGAAGGAAAACCAAAAAGGGTTCTAAGCAGCTAAAATTTATGTCCTGACTCCCATGTGGTAAAGCACCTTACTATACTCATAAAGGCTTATATGCATTTAGTATTCGTTTACTAGTGACATGTTGTGTTGCTTGGTTTCTCAGCCTACATAGTGGTGGGAGCATAAGTGTCAAGGCTGTTAACTGACTGGACTATAGAAAGCAGAGATTAAAAAAAATATATTAGAGAACAGAGGCCTGGACAGTCACACAGGGCCTCTAAGCACAAGACCATCTCAAGGTTAAGCTGTCAAGAAAAGGTTAACTAGGGCTGAGGGTGCATGTGGGTGGTAGAGCATGTACTTAACATGTATGATGCCCTGGGTTCAATTCCCATTACCAAAATAGTAAACAGAACAAAAGTTAAAGCATTAACTATCTCCAGTGTATAGAAAGCAAGTCAGCATTAAATTAATTTTTTAATCGCCCCTCCCTCCCCTTAAAGGTTTAAGGTAGCTCTATAATACATCAATGTTCTTAGGAAGATTTACAAAATAAAATAGAAAATATAACTTAAGGTTAAATATTAGTTGCCCAGAAAATTACTCATGAATTCATTTGTTTATTCAATATTTATTAAATGCTGATAATATGTTCAATACTGAAAAGACCTAAACTTATTTAGAACATTAACTGACCTAAAATTCTAAGGTTAAAACCTAGACCATTTCATAGCAGTCCAAATTTTTATTAAACTGTTAGTACATCTTTGTGAAATGTTTTTGATTGTGATTTTAATTTTAGAACCTTCTTAGTGGAGAATATATTCTCCACTTCCAAAGAAGACAGAAAGATAAAATTGTTTAACCAGAAATCACAAAGTTGAGATGACTTGGAAGTCTGTGAATCTTCTATGTCCACCTCAAATTTCAATTGTGACAGTTCTGACTCATACTCTCTTTTCTCAGCCTTAGTGAGTAGAATTTACTTAGCCAATTTCACTAGCAGATTATATTCTTTCACGGCATAGAGAAACAAGAATCATAAATATACCATTCTGCCTTCTTTTGTGCCTTTATTTCATAGCCTGAAAGTTTAAATACAGAAAATATATTTAAAAGCACAAATTAATAGTACCTATTTCCTGGAAGTATTTCAAAATGCTTTCTTTCATTAGAGACACCAAATCTACTGGATGGAATTTATGTAGATATATGCTGGCAGGATGCATACATAACAACAATAACAAAAGAAGTTATCATTTATTTAGTGCCTGCTACCTATCTGGTATCATGTTGAGAGTTTTGAATTGGTTATTAACTGAGAAAATTTTCAAAGAAGGCACTGGTATTATTCCCATGATATAGGGTAAAATCTAAGGTTTAAAGAGAGTATCTTGCTTACATTATTCATGTAACCAATTTAGTGGAATAAGGATTCAAGTCTGAGCAATCACATTCAACACTTATGCCATTTAAGATGTTACTCTTTTAAATTCAGGAAAGAAACAGAATCTCATCTATATGTAGAAATACTTTTTACTTGTTAGTTCTGTTTTATTATCATAGGAAGTAAAAGGATTAAACTATACTATAAAGTTAAAGGTACAGTTATGTGATTTGTTCAGAAAGTAGATTTTAGACTCACTTTACACCTCTACAATGTGTGGGTAAAAATCTGCTTTTTCATTCTCTATAGGTTTACTTTGGCATCTATACTTATGAAAACTTGTGTCCTATAATGGGGCATCCCCATCCTGCCCTGCTAGTCTCAAAATTTAAGTAGGATTAAATGTCATATACATCAAAGTAAGGACCAAAGTTGTCAAATTAACTTTCTTCTACAGAACCAGTTACCCAATTTATCTTAACATTCTAATGAGAATTACCACCATTATTACATTTTCCTGAAGGGAAAATGGGTTCAAAAATCTACTGAGGTGGGTGAGAAAGTCCAGGTGTTTTCTTTTTCAGTTTTTAATCTTTTAAATGTTACCTGATCAGTAACAGTTTGCTGTGTCTTTCATTGCAAGGGCATTGTAATTCAAATTCAGTGTGGTTTCACTTATGCAATCTGTTGGCTAAGTTCAAGTAGTCTACTCTGCACCTGTTTTAATGATATAGCACATTAATAACATTTTCCTTCACTTAAAGCCATGTTTACTAACAAAGCCTTAGCACCCCCCCCCAAAAACTCTTAAAGCCAAACTTCACACATTCAAAGAGTCAGAATAAGTAATTGATACATAACAACTTAAGGCCTTTTTCAAACTAAGGTCTTATAGAGTTTTTAAAATCACACTTTTTTAAAGGTGGCAGAAATATATTTTGATTGTGCAGCAAACACTCAAGGTCACAAGATGCCCATTTATTCTCTGCTGCAATGCGTGAAGAGTCCAGCAGGCTGAGCTGGGTTTTGCCTAGAGTTTTCTTAAAAGAATGTTGGAAACTTTATTACAAAAGGTGGTAATGTCAGTGACAAGAAAATCAGGGGTCAACAGAGATGAGGGAGAAGAGGTGCCTCAACAGAAGGGAGAATCAGTAAGTTGTGGAGATCTAAAGGCGCTTAGGCAATTTCTTAGGGTCTCTCCAAATAAGAAAAGAATGGCACTGATGTAAGAGAAGAGGGAAAAACAGCCAAAGGGGAGAGACACTGCCATTTTGATGGGGAAGGGGGGCGTCTAACTTCACAATGAGGTCATCCTAGCTCCCGGAAGTGACAAGTAATCACCTGCTTTGCACTAGCTCCGCCCCTTCCCTCAGAGGTCCCGCCCCCTCCGCCAGCAGCCGGGAGGGTGTCGGGGGGCGTTTCTCCAGGAGCCAAGCCGAGAGCCGCGGCGCTGAGGAAGGGGACCCCGAAACGCCTGGCACTGCCCCCTCCAGGGACCACTTCGGACAGCCTCTCTCGGCCCAGCGGGATTCTGAAACGCCGAGGGGTCAACCTGATGGGTTTCGGGGTCAACGGAAGAGGGCAAGGGGAGCCCTGGCGGGGAGAACCCCCTGGCCCCCCGCCCCGCAGCTGAGGCGCAGGAGGGCGGCCATTTTGGCCGGGAGGGCCGGGCCGGCAGGCTGCGGGCGCCGTGCGATTGGGGGGCTCGCCCGGAAGTGACGCCGGCCGCCCGGAAGCGGAGGGGGTTCCCCGGCCCCCTCCCCCCGGCCGTCTGCTCCCCCGCT